TGGTACTTGGAGTGTTGAATCGATGAACAAACGGACACACAGGCAGATGCATGGATGGACGCATGAACGGACGGTGGGGCGGATGCATGGACGAACGCAGGGACGGACGCATGAACAGACGCACGCACGGATGGTTGGATGGACGCATGGACGGTCACACAGACGGACGCATGACGGACGGAAGCAAGAACGAAAGGACGGACGAATGCTTCGCCCCACTCTCCATCATTCACTCCGTGGATATGCTGCCAATTTTTTTTTCATACAGCAAACAAAACTTTTTTTCATTCTCCGAAATTGATAAATTTATTGAAATTGGTCCATTAATTGTCTCATAATATGTGCTTACATTTTGGATGTACTTAAATATCGAATCCCAAAGAGCTAGCTTAACTATAGCCTTATAGTTCTTATAATATTAGAATTTGTAGCTATCGCATTTATTGTTTTGCCCTTGAGCGAAACAGTCATATATTTTTGCGAAGAACACTTACTATTGACGTTTGTTGTCATATTTTAATGTTCTTGACCATTCGACAACATTACATAATTTGATCACTTGGTCAAGTGCCCGAACAAGGCTGTCAATTTGAAGGGTGGTCCGAATGAACTATAGGATGGTGTCAGGTCGCTATTGTGTGTTGGTAAACTCAGCTTTCGAACTCTGTAATGCCAGTTGTTTAGGTGTAGGCCAAGTTGGTTTAAATCAATATTGAAACGTGTTGTCATCGCTTGGTCACGAAGATATTTATACGGTCGCATGTTATTTCACACACTGGATTTTGCGCTTCACGGGGTACTGAATGCTCTGGTATTTATAATATAGATAGCATGTTCACAGTAGCTTTGACTGTAGATCAGCAACGTTTTCATAGTATGTTGCAAAATTGTTACCGGGAGCCTTAAAGGAGCAGGACAGTTGCGAAGACTGACATATCGCAGAAATTATGCGTGCAGACACAGATAAAATTTACAGCACAAATGTGAAATTCATTCTTGCGTTACCTGTCTCCCTTCTACATACGCACATTAAAACAGGCAGAATGTACTATAGATTCTTGAGGATACTTTGAAAAAACGTTTTGTGCCGAATGTTTTTCGACGTGCGAGTCTTCGCACAACCTCGTAGCCATCGGATAGGAGTTCCTTTAGTTACAAGCGTCCAATGTAACTCCACTTCTCTTGCCAGCATCGTCAATTAGTCATAAGGATGCACGACTCATTGAGGCTATACACTGATAAAAAAGTAACGCTTAAGTTCCACATATGAGAATGAAAAGTGCACCCTTCTCAGTGCCTTCTCATTCGCTTGTCCGGCTTTGATTCTTGGTGGATACCTTCATCATTCATAAGTGTATGGTGCACCACGACAAGTACACAAAAAGAGAGACGCACACACACGCAGCGCTGTGTGTGTGCGTCTCTCTTTTTGTGTTCTTGTCGTGGTGCGCCATACCCTTATAAATGATGAAACCCAACCAACTTGCCCGGCAACGTGCCTTAGCAGATAACTTCACCCTGCCGGGTGGAAAGGAACACCTGTGCATGTGACATATGCCATTGAATTGTCCTCTAATCTTAGGTGCCTTCTGCAAGGGCATTTGCGAAGTACCAACGACGCTATTGTTTACATTGACCATTTCGCGAAGTATCGAAGTAACTACTATGCCTCTGCAAGGCAAAACGTGCCCTTATGAGGCGTTCTTTGTTGAAAAAGTCCAAAACAAAAAACCGGAGCAAGTCAAAATTTCACTCGAACGTAAAGCATGCCTAAGTATCTTCAGCTTCTAGAACAGTTCTAATAAAAATGTGGGACTTCCTTATTGTAACATTGTAACTCAAAAAAGCAAGTTTCTAATAAACAATGAGTCAATACGATGACTGTTGAAAGCAAACTGAGCTATATTCACTAAACCAGCACTTCGCCAACAGTTGCGACCTAAACAACGAATATGGTCTCACTTAAAATATTCCATTTGCCTTCTAGTTGCTTGTTATCGTGTTTACACTCAATATTTAGGTTTTTGTAGGGTGAAGTGGCACTAACTGAAGCACATAATGTTCATTAACAAGGCTCGATTATGAAGAGTAACAGGTTGAAGTTCCTCAACTAGGTTTTTGTAGGGCGAAGGGGCACTAACCGAATCATATAATGTTCATTAACAAAATTCGATTATAAAGAGTAAGAGGTTGACTACCCTAATTTTTTTTGCCGCTTGCGATTCATTTTGCGTTTAGCGCTACATTATCACGTTTTTATTCGCTGCAACATGGTATATTTGAAGTAAAATACACGTCAAATGAAGATATTGGGCATCTAGGTATTTCCTTAAGACGATGTGGTCGGAAACGGCGCGACACATAAAACGAACTGAAGCACTTTTTAAGGCCTTCAGTAGATGTCAAGAACAAGAAAACACTATTGACAGTACAGAAGAGTGCGCTTTTTGCCACGAAAAACCATTAGCTCTTCAAGTTGAATACTCATCACTGCGCTCATGCAAAGAAGCACGGCACCGACAGAAGCACAAAGACGACGTTAATTCTAACGCAAAATATTGCTATAGCATATATTTGAATAGTTTCACACCTATATTACGCGCTTATTCATGCAAAAGGAGATTGTTCCAATCAATATGAGCCAAGTAAAAACTTTACTCTTCAATACTGACAAAATTGGGCTATGTAGATATTAGCCACAATATAGATTTTTTAGTAGTTAGGAAGAGGAACATACTGGAAGAAAGTTGTTTGAGCGGGCCAGGCCATATTGTCAGTAGAAAAAAGTACGTTTTTTTAGCTTTCGTTAGAGCGCATTTGGCTCTATTAGAAAAAAAAAAAATTGCTCATATTTATATGCACGAATTATTGATGCTGTTACTTAGGATGGCGATTATGATGTTGAACTGTTGCTGTGCTCGTTGTGATCGGGTGTGCAGTTGTATACCACTCAGTCGTCACCCAGTTCACAAGGTGTGACGTCTTCTCTTAACGTGACTCCTCCACCGACATGATGCCTGCATAGCGTATTTTCCAACAGACTGCTGGACAGTATGCCTAAATTTGACTCCAGCTCGAACCTTTATTTTTATTGAACTATAACCTGACGACAATATTTATTTACAGTACAGTCACTTTCTACTGACACCGTAGCAGGTGGCGCAGACACTATGTCTACTCATCAGGTTAATCATGAAGCAACACAAAAGGAACCAGAGTAACATCAACTTTGCACTTTATGTAGGCAACCTACACTACATAATATACAGAATGTTTCAAGAAATGTGTCCAATATTCTGTAAAAATTACAGAAAGAGAGTATCTGCGTGCTACTTGCGGTGTTGCCTTCTTGTGGCAGAAGACATCTTCAGATGGGTACAAGCATTAGTTACAGCAGTAAGTATAGAACTTAACACAAATAACCTTTAAACCAGTGGTAATGGCCGGCAGAATCAAATGGGTGAGCTCAAGTCCTTCCTACAAGTAGTGCACAGCTACGTAGAAATTCTGGGAAATCGGCCACTGATAATCACTGTGGCGCGATGCGATCTTGCCAATTCAGCTGGCGAAACAAAAAACCGATGCACCAAATAGCGCAACTACCATTCACTTCGACAACAATGCCCCGACGTAGCGGTGTAATGGCCGCAGGGCGCGGGTTCGAATCCCGGCTGCGGCGGCTGCATTTCCGATGGAGGCGGAAATGTTGTAGGCCCGTGTGCTCAGATTTGGGTGCACGGTAAAGAACCCCAGGTGGTCAAAATTTCCGGAGCCCTCCACTACGGCGTCTCTCATAATCATATCGTGGTTTTGGGACGTTAAACCCCACAAATCAATTAGTGGTGTAGTGGCTAAAGTACTCGGCTGTTGACCCGCAGGACGCGTGATCAAATCCCAGCTGCGGCGGCTGCATTTTCGATGGAGGTGAAAATGCTGTAGTCCCATGTGCTCAGATTTGGGTGCACATTAAAGAACCCCAGGTGGTCGAAGTTTCAAGTTGTCCTCCACTACGGCGTCCTTCATAATCATATGGTGGTTTTGGGACGTTGAACCCCACATATATATCTATCTTCGACAACATCCCCAATGACGACACTGTTTCCCTCGTATTGAAAAGAAAAATAAGTGAGCGTCGATAAGCGGCCTCGAAGCGAAGTGTCTAAATTGACGGTTGATAACGGCGAGGGAAACAGTGTCATCGTTGTGGTCGTTGTTGAAGTGAATGGCAGATGCGCTGTTCGGTGCGTCGTTTTCGGTATTCCCTGCTAAATTTCGTGTGGGTACTTACCATAACAATAACACGTACCCGATAGACTTCAAAATGGCGCATACCCGCTACAATAGCGTACTTTCATGCATCAGTTCACTCTTTGTATGACGGTGAACCAACTGGTCTCTGTGGATTGTGTCAGTATGCTGAAGCTATACATGTCCCCGACTAAACGTTAACTTGAAATCTACCAAAGTGAACCAAATGTTCACGAAAAAAGGGGCTATCTTTGTTTAAAATAAACATTTATACGGAACATTCAGGCCTCCGAAAATTAATATTTGCATCCATCAGGCTTTTTTTTTTCGCTCAAGACGAACGCCACCGATTGCAACACCGCAATTGCCGCGGTACGGGCTCTTTGACGCTCTGACGTTAAAACTGTAGCTCGAATTTGCAGGTGAACCAGATGGTCGAACGTTCTTAGACACTTTTGTGGTAAAATGAAACCTTAAAACTTGGGGTACATTCCGACGCGGAATAAAGCCATATGCCATGAAAAGAACGCTGTGACAGTCAAGGCGATGTAGAGAGACACGCGGACACACGTGCACGTAACGTTAGACAGCACGCCACGACAGGCGCATCTGACGGTCCACCGGTTACTTTAGCACCTCTGCGTCAGCGCACATCCGTTGTATCAAGTGGCCGCCTCCCTTTGTCCCAAGTGCTCGATAGCGACAGGATGAAGGAGGACAATCGTGTAAGAAGACGACAGCCTCGGGTTGCAGTTGCCGATACCTTGGACGCAAGCACAACCGGAGACGTGTCGTCACGCGGTTTCGATCTTGACTCACCGGATGACAGAGTTGCATAAAATGGCAGCACCGAGCAGCTCACGCCACTGACCGCCCGTCCTCCTGCCTGACGAGCTAGCTGCTGAGCCGTGGCTATGAAGGCGCTGATCTTCATCTTTGTGGGCCTGCTGGTCGCCACCACCATAGGCGGCGACGAACTCTGCGGTAAGTCACGGCACGTTGCCCCTTATTTGTATTGAGTCATTATTTCAAAAAAAAAAAAGCTTTATTCAAGTGTCCTACGAGATTGTGGGGCATGTGAGGCCTAGGTGAGGACCAGAAATTCCCGAGTCCTGGCGGCTTCTTCGGTCCACTGAATAACGCCAAGTTAATCTTGAAGGGCAGAGCTAGGCTACACAGTCTCGCAGCGCGTGCGGAGGCTTTGGCTTCAGCTAGAGGCTGCATTCCTTGATGTGTGTGCAATCTCTCGACATACTCAAACTATGCGTTCTAGAGTTGCTCTACAGCAACAGTTCTTGTATTTATCTGTCTTGGTGTCTATCAAAGTCTTGGTTGATGTCGCTTTGAATATACACCTCCCAGCTGCTTACTTGTAAAATACATTGTTTTTATTCGCTAGACAAAAAAAGAGATACTTTTCGCCTAAAGAAGGCTGAGTAAGGAAAGTACAGATGAACATAGCTGATAAACGACAGGAGACCTCAAAATTAACCACAGTATATACCTTCATTGCATGCTTCATTTTAGTTTGCTGTTTGAGCGAAGTCGTCTTTAGTGGAGTCCAACGAATTTGCGTCCTAATATAAGTCGCCATGTCCATAATAGGTCTTGTGCCAGGCTCCTACTTCGCTCCAGCCACGTTTCTTTTCGCATTTTTGAATTGATATCCATTCATTATGAGGCGCTGCGCTCTAATCCCATCGGTGCGAGTAGTATTATGGCTGCTTCCAATCAGGACGACGCTAAGAAGGATGAGTAATTTCCGTGGGAGTGCAGCGATGAACAAGCGCTTGCACACAGCATAGTAAATGACACTCTGCTTTGCACGTAGGCTTAAAATGAGGATTTATAAGCAAGATGTAGGAGTTTCGTTTACACTTTTAGCTGGGCTAGGAAATAGTCCTTCGGGATGACGCTTTGTTTCCTGCACAAATTATATAAGGAAAACTAGAGGATCTGTTGATTGGTAACCTCCATGATCTTTCCGTGTCACTGCTAAAAACTAAAACTTCAGTTTGAATGTGCATTGAGGTAGTCACTGCTTATATGAATTTTAGCATCGTAATTTTTTCAGCAGGTTATCAAAGACCGTTATTTTAAACGAAGCGCGGCCTCAAGAGCGCGTATATGGTGAGTCAAGTAAGAATGGAATGAAAGGGAAAGCTTAATAATAATAATAATAATAATAATAATAATAATAATAATAATAATAATAATAATAATAATAATAATAATAATAATAATAATAATAATAATAATAATAATAATAATAATAATAATAATAATAGTAATAATAATAATAATAATAATAATAATGAAGAGGAAAAAGCTGCATTGCATTAAACGACACCAGCTTGCCTCATTATGTACATTTCATATTTCTCCTGAATGAGTCTTGTTTACTGCTTTTCACAATGATTGCAGTATAAAAATTCGTACAAGAAAAGGCTCTGAGGAGCCCATTGTATCTCATCCAGTGCATTTTTATTTCTTATTTAGTCGTTTCAGAAAGTGCGCAAATGCGTTTCACGTACCTTGTGAACAAGGTAACGCTATTTGACCGCTTCTTAAAAAAAGTAGCAGCCGAATAAATCTGAAAATGCCACGAATGAGCCGGCGCATTTCGATTTTTTTTGAGCGCATTTTGTGAGGAAAGAAGTGCTGTGATAAATGTTTTATGCTTGTTGCAGACCTGGCCGACAACTTGAAAGTGCAGGCTGTGCAGTGCATCACGAGCCATGTTTCAGAACAGGTAAGCGGAATAGTGGTCATGTACGATATCTTAGAGCACCATATGCAAGAACACCTGAAATTACGATTATTTATTTCAAGGCAAAAGCATTATAGTTATAAATCCAATGAAATTTTTTGCTCATGAGCAAAATAATCAAATTTGGCATCTGATGGCAGGAAGACAAATTATATCAAAACTTATGGGGGCTGATCCCAAAGGTAGTGTAGTCCTGGGTGATGCACAGAACGCTGCAGAGTGGGGTAGGGGGTTGAGGGTAATGTAATAAGGTTATGTGAAGTACTTAGAAATAATAAATAAAATGATGTAAAAGGAGTGATAGTTAAGGCGAAATACATGGAATCAAAGGTGAATTAAATTGAACTACCCGGCAGTTTAAGGTAACAATATACTCAGGGCATGCAAGTGAGTGATATATATAACAGTGAAATGAATGTTAAAAAGAAATAAAGAGAATGAAATGCCAGAAATAATTCAGACTTAATTGGATGTTGCCAAAAATAAAAGGGCCGTAAAAGTTAATCAAACGTGACTTCGCGCCTCAGTGACCAAGTCACATCCTGAAGAAACTGTGCTGCTGGTTACAGCACGACAAGAGAAGAATAAGAAGTAACCACGCCATTGACAGGGAACGTCAATAGAGCCGGACGACTGTCTCGTGAAAGCATACTCGTTCCCATGTGCTCTCGTGAGAATTAGGTAAATGGAATGTCAGCTTTTAATAACCATTTATGCAATCGCACATAGTTGTGGATCAATACGTATTTAACGCGTATTGAATGCCTGCAGACAATACAGAAACTAGCAATGCGACGAATGATTTTCAGCCCATTTGAGTAGCACTCTCTCGTTACGCGAGTTAAAGTGAAAGAGATGAGGAGGAAGGTTGACAGGTTAGCATCTGGTTTGCTATAAAGCACTGGTGTGGGGAAATAGGAGCAAGAATGTAGGTGTAGAGAGAAACAGAGAGAAAAAAGGGAGAAAGAAAAAAATTCTGTGTACATGCTGGATGAAAACACGCATAAACGAAGGGTGTCCTGCCTACAGTCGTTCAGAAAGACCGGTCAAATGTAAAAAGCGCATTAACACTCGCAAGGCCTTCTGCCAAGCTGCATCGTGACGATGGCGTAAAATTCGTTTCTTTGACAAAGGTTGGTCATCCAACCTGTTGCGCGAGATGCGAAAGCGTAGTCGCTGCACCGCATACTGTAAGCAGTCGCAGGAGATATATCCAAATGTTTCTTCATTGCAACCGTGGTCACAGGCTGCGGTGTCGGCCCTTGCCGATGCAGAAAGTATGGGAGTCGATAGACGCAAATATCAACCATCGTCTTAACAAAACGGCAACCCTCCATGATGCAATATAAGTGCATCAAAAGAAACAATTATATTGAATTTATTGATCCTGAAAACATCACTCATAACTATTCGTTTTTCTCAGTGCTATAAGTGGCGTCAGTCCATCATAAGGTCCAATCACGGCAAGTTCACAACACTATTGTCTAGCGTAGCCGTATGTAAACCACTACCTTTCAACATCAAATCTTGACGCGACGTCAATACATTCTATGTGCGCAGCAAGAAGTATTAGGTGCGGAGCACTTCAGGGGGCCAGGCTGTCGTATGATCATTGCTGAGCCTAATGCAGCCAAAGCCACATATAGCATAGCCAGCTGTTGCATATTGACCCCGTGCTCGCACTAAAAATTGTTTCCATTTTGGCGTCCTAGCACCTTGATACGAGCTATACGACATCAAGTGAGAACATTACTACTACAGAAACATGACAACTCAAACCACGCCTACCAATAAAAAAGGAAGCAAGCGATAAATTGAGGCAGAGGGAAAGAGAAAAAAATTGACAGAAAAACATACATCAATAGAAATAGAGAAAAACACAATAAACTGGGAAAATGAACAAGAAGGAAAGAGAGGGGAAAAAGAGAAAACTGAAAGGAAACAAAGAAGGCTGCCTCACTCCTGACTTTCTTTAGGCTTGGTACAATTTCAGCTAAAAAATTAGGCGGTTTTTCCGAATTTTCTAATTCACCCCAAATGTTCCTGAATCATTCTTCAGTGTCCCCTTTGTTTTAGTTTTTGTATTATTAGATGCGAAGCAGCTCTTTCACTATAGCCTGCGTAACACGGTTCCTCTGTCTTTACCGCGCTACCCTGGCCACAGGTGTTTGGGCGGTGCCAATCAGGTCCCGCCTTCCCTCTCAGGGCACGCGCCTTGACGCCACTCTCTCCCTGGCCCGTCGCCGCTCGTCGTTTGTCCTCTCGCTCACTTCACCCTCTTCACCGATCACGATGTTCGAGCTCACATCGAGCGAACAATCTTTCTGCGATGAAATTTACAGGAAACCCCATTCACCCCCCATGTTTTCGCCTTTCATACTAACGTTCACTCGAGTAAACCCTACACTGAATTTTGCTTCAAATCGTTCTTCCTGCACCCGCGTCGACGCCCGTTTCAACTGGGCCAACGCCGTGCGCAGCACTGCTGCTTCGAATTCCATCAAGGTTCTTTTCTGAGAGCTGGTTGATAGTTGTTTTTATTATTGGTAACAAAAAGAGTGGCATTTTTTCTGCTAGGTGCTGTACTTTCTGCTTGTTGACAACCTTGATTTTTTCGTGTTTAACATTATTTAGCATTGCTATTGACCAATTTACGAACTTACTCTCATAATAAACTTAACGAATTATCAGTCTTTCTACTCACAGGTTCCTACTTTTGAGCTGATTTGTTCAATAACACCGTTTATTTAATCGTAGGTTGTATAATATCTGGGGTTCATCATGCCAAACTACTATATCAATGTGGGAAACACTTAAGAGGAGGGCTTCCGAAACTTTGACCATTCGGTATTTTTTAGGATGCCCCTTAATCTAAGTACACAACACTTTAGCGTTTTGCCTGCATCGAAATGCGACCACCGCAGCTGAGATTGAACCCGCCACCTTCCAGTCAGCAGCAGAGTTCTGTAACCATTATACCACCACAACAAACTAATCGTATATCGAAGGCCTTCCTGACAGTTTTATTTTTGAAACTCGGACCTGCTGTGGTAATATGCCCAACATGTGACGCCATGTAGCTGTTGCTATAAGCTTTCGCGAGTTAGATCACAGCCATCGCGGTCGGTTTTCGATGGGAGAGATATGCTAGGGTCGCGGGTACTCTGCGATGCCAGCGCACGTTAAAAAACATTTGTTGGTCGAAATTTCTGGAGCCCTTAACTACGGCTTCTCTTATAATTCTCTTCCTAAGGATTGGCTTTGTGCTAAAGTAATACCGATTCATAAAGAAGGCAACAAGCTACACGTTGAAACATGTAGACCGATTCCACTGACCATTGTTGCTGTAAATAAAAGAACACGTAGTGAGTAAAGCTATCATGACGTACCTAAACAAATATAACGTGTTATAGCCTATGAAACATGGTTTTAGAAAAGGTTTATCAACAATTACTCAGTTATTAGAGATAACCCATGACTTTACGTCAATATTTACCTCAAATTTTCAAGTTTATACTATTTTTGTAGATTTTTTGAAGGTTTTTGATCGTGTCATGCACTATAAATTAATCAAAAAGATCAGGTCTGTTGTATTCGCAAACAGTATTGTGGAATGGATAGCAGCTTATGTTTCGAACTGAACTCAGTATCTTTCTATAAATAATTTAGACTCGCATTAACTCGAAGTTTACTCAGGAGTGCCACAATGATCTGTTCTCGGACCACTATTATTTCTTATTTACGTTAATGACATCACTGATTGCGCAGGAGGAGTAAAGTTACGGCTCTTCGCCGATGACTTAGTTATTTACACTTGCGTGCAGATAGTTCATGAGCAACTCAAATCGAACAATACAGTTAACAAGATAGCTCACTGGTGTGATAGATGGAGCATGGAAATTATTGTTGGGAAAACTAAATGCATGATTACAACACGTAAACAGACGATTCTTAGTTACAAATATAGACTAATGGGTAACGATGAAGTAGTGACAGATTCAGTTAAATATATGGGCATGACCTGAAGTGGAATATTCACATTGAAAACACGTGCACGAAGACTTTCAGAACATTAGGATTCTTGCGAAGAAAACAGTCTCCAGCTCCATCACAAGTGAAGTTAACCACATATAAAATATTAGTGAAGCCGCTTATTGAGTATCTTAATATTGTGTGGAACCCACACCAGAAAGAACTTACAGAAAAACAAGAAAGTATGCAAACTAAACCATTAGGATTTATATATTCTAAGTACTCTCGACACAAAGCGTAAGTGCTCTTAGAAATCAGGCAGAATTGCTTACTCTTGCGTGTCGGCGTGTTGTGGACGCAATGAAGTTTCTTTTTATGTTCTATTACGACCACATAAACATAAAGAAACAAGACTACGTGCAGACACCGCACCATCACTCCATCAAAACCTGTCACTATAAACACATCAGGCCTTATCAGGCCACATGCGACACGTTTAAATATTCCTTTTTTTCCATGGGCTATTGAAACTTGGAATGCTTTACCAAGTGAAATGGTTGAATGCTGATCTGTGCATGAATTTATTGCGCAACTGGAATTCTTTCTTGATTGTACATAGGCGTGTACTCCATGAGGTAAATGTTTGCAGAAGATTGTCAAATGTGCGGTGCTTCTTGATGTGTGATCCCATTTCTGCATTTTTTGGGTTGTTCTTGATCTATCACTGAAGCATTATCCACTGAGGCATTCTGTGTTCTGCTTTTGTATTTGATTTTATTATGTCCATGCTCATCTCTATTTTTTCTAACCACTTCCTCTATGAGCCTGTACAAAGGCCTACATTATTGTGAAACAAAAAACAATTAAATGAATAATCATCTCGTAGTTTTCAGACGTAATACATGAGATATTAGGAATATATTTTACATGATTGACTTCGCTTTAAAAAACGGTAGAAGTTTACACTAAGTAATATAGCCGTGAAAAGCTTAATTAATCATGAAAATAATTCTAGGGGCTTCTTGGGGCCTACTTGGATGATCCTATGCCTTTCCTTGGCGTATACAAAGTTGGGTCGAAGTACAGCCTGTCCAAAATCCCGCAAGAATGTCCAAACTCCAGCGTCAAAACTAACGTGCATATCATGCAGTGGCATCCCTGGCAGAAGCGTACCGGATGATTTTTTGCGACAAGAACTCTCTCACGCTCTGGCGTTATGATTTTCTAAGCGTATTCTTGTGGTTCCTGGGTTGATATATATGCAGTGAATCTCTTGTCATGCATACCCGTATACCATGGGCTATGTTATGTAGGTGTGTGCAACATGTGACTGGTGGAAAAGGTGTCATGACGTATGTCACACTAAAGTCACGTTATTCACATCATGACCTGTGAATTGTGTTTGTCATGCACTCATGTTTTTTTATGGTAATTTTGGTAAACACCGGGTTAAAGAGATTACCATAAGAGTGCCGAGATGTTGGCGGATAGATAGATAGATTGATAGATAGATAAAAACAGACCAAGTACCATCAGTTTGCTAAAAATTGCTTCGCATTTAAAAAAAAAACTTGTTTTGAAATTGAGTGACCATCGCTGCAGTTGCGGCATTTTACATTAAGCTTTTGAATAACCCAACCTAGTGAGAAGAAGATAAAGAACTGTAGTTAAGAAGAAATGGAAAATGAATTGACGTTGAAAAGGAAAACACTGCATCATTGCTTCTTTTCTTGCATATCGCTATTTGATAGTTCTACTGGAAAAAAAGGTGAAGGAGCCTCTTGTAAAAGTGTCTCCCTTGCTCGGGAACCACTTCTGGCGCCGCCCAGAAGCAAGAGGTACTGCTGGGAGGCTTTACTTAGCCAGACCTATACACCGTTTTAGAGAGAGAGATAAACTCTTCCAGTTCATTTCGTTGACAGAAGAAGCTTGAAAATGTTAATTGGTTGGCACTTTTTTTTTTCGCCTTACACTTTCTGCTTTCCAGAGACTCTGCTTTAACAAAGCTTAATATCGCTTTTGTAAAAAGGCCACTCACTGGGTTTGACAAATTTGAGCTGACAAGTGCAATGCGTATGGGGTGTTCACGATCACGTCTGC